TATATATTTCCTTGTCATTACTTCATGTGAAGATTTGCTTAAATTGTCAGCTTGACACAACCTAGAATCGAATGGGAAGCATCTCAATTAGGGATTGTCTACATTGCCTTGATCTGTGAGCATGATTATGGGCTATTTTCTTATCAATTTATGTTGGCTAGACATGGTCCATTGTGGGTGGCACCATTCCTTAGGCAGGGAACCCTGAACTGTGTTAGAGTAGAAAACCAGGCCGAGCACAAGGAAACAAATGATCGTGTGTGTATTGCTTTCTCTCTGCTCTTGACTGAGCATGTGCTGTGCCTAGCTGTTTGGAGGTCTTTCCTTGATTTTTTTTCACCAAAGTGGACTGCAATCTGGAACTGTGAACAGAAAGAACCCTTTCTCACAGAAGTCCTTTTTCCATCTATTTTTATTACCACAGCAGAAATGAAATTAGAGCCCCTCTCAATAACACAGTATAATTACTACCCAGTAGCACTGACGTTTAATTGGTCTCATAGAGATGGCTCAGAACTTAGGGGAAGATGAATGTGGCTTATGTGTCAACACTGCATTATTTTATACATGAGCTTTGGGCATTTATGGATATTTGTATTCAAGAAACACCAAGAACCAACTCCCAGTGGAGACTAAAGGATAGCTTTGTGCACACACATGTGTGGGAATGCACACACACACACACACACACGCACACACGCATGTGGTCTCTCCGTAGCACACCACTGTTGTTGGTTTGTATGCTTATAGAGAAGCCAGCATGGATGTAACTTGCACTCTCTCTCAGATGCTGACACACCCGGCAATCCTTGGAGGAGCGTCCAGCACTCATCCACTGGTCTAAAAACCCAAGATCCTCTCTGGAGCAAGAGGCGGATAAAGGGAGGCAGTCTTACTTGGCCCAGGAGCAAAGCCTTGGGCCCAGAGCAGGGGGATCTTCAATCACTTAGCTAATGAGAGAAGAAAGGTAGCTCTTGAGATGTGTCTCCGTGTTTCCATTTCAACAGAAATACTTTTGTGCATTTGCAGCCGGGACTCTTTCTTTTTCTCTTAATTTCCCAGAACATGGGACAGAAGTAATTTGCATGGTCAGTTCATTCCACGCAAAGTTTAAATGTATTTGGGTGAAACTGGCTTGTGGCTGATTTGCTAAGGAGTGAGGGAGCTGTAATCTGCACCCTGTCTCCATATGGACCAAAGCTACTACAGCCTGGGGCAAAGCTGCTACGCTGGAAACAGAGGCAAGGCAGGACCCAGGGTCAGCAGGCTTAGATGATGAGTCATCCCCTAGCTGATGAAACAAGAGCATGCTGTCCTTCTGGGGTGCTGCAGTAACCTTGCCTGGTGCCTGTGTCCCTAGCGCTCTCTGGAGCTTTCTCATCCCCTTAGCTGATACTGTTGAGGATTAGACAGACCCTAGGGGTCTAGGAAACAAACCATCACTATAGCAGAGAGAATTCTTCATCACACTTAGCATTGCTTTATTTCATTACATGTTAAACGTAAAAACACTAGAAATCACATTTTAAAAAGTTAAAATTATAAGATTTTAAGAGATTTTCTTTCATTTATGTGTATATGTGTCTTAGTTAGGGTTACTATTGCTGTGATAAAACAGCATGGCCCAAAGCAACTTGAGGAAGAGAGGGTTTATTTCCACATACAAGTCTCAGGTCACACTCCATCCCTGAGCAAAGTCGGGGCAGGAAGTCAAGGCAGGAACCTGGAGGGCGAATGTGAGTAGAGACCGCAGAGGAATTCTGCACACTGACCTGCTCTAAATGACTTTACTGCTTGGCCTACTGCCTGGCACCGGAAACTGGGACTCCTTGTTCCCTTTCACTAGGGGTCACTAGGGGTCACTTCTTGCTCTGGTGCTTCCTCTAGGAAATGTTGTGAAGTCCAGGAACAGCTGTCTGCCCTGCTGAGAGCGTTTCTCCCGGTCTGTTTAACCTACCCACTAGACAGTAGCGTACCGTTCCTTCCCGAGAAAGAGCTAAAATCCAGGGCTGTTTTCATCTGTGCTCCACTCCCCTAGTGCCAGGCCCTTTAGCAATATATACACGACTTCATTTCCCCTGAACAGCAGTGCTCAGAAAGTAACACAACTGGCCACCATTTATGAATGAGAAAAGAGGACCAGAATTGAAGCAGCTCCCCCCCACCCCCGACAGCCTACAGGCCTGGGTGGCAACTCTAAATCTCCCTTACCCTGCTTGACTTGGTCACACTCTGCTGGCTGCCTCTCTAAAGGCCAAGCACACTCAACACACTTTAGAACCTGATCCTGCAAGGCATCCACCTTGCTGGGGGCAATGCCATTGTCTGTGGTTCCTAAATCTGAAACTAAAGACCACTAGCTGCAGCAGTAAGTGGTGTCCTTGTCCAAAGGAATACAGTGTAGCATATGTAGAAGAACTAAATATTGTACATAAGCAAGATTTAGGGAGTCAGATACACAGTGGCATGGCTGAGCCTTGGAATAGAAAAAACAAAATTATCTATATGCAAGGAGTAACGAGTAGAGGTTCCACCTCAGTGGACTGTCCAAAATAGAGAGAGCCACAAGGGAAAATGTAGATTAACAAATGTCAGAGTCCAGACAGGGGAGAAATGGGGAGGGATGGTCCATCCTCTAAAGGTTCTACAGCCTCACCAGATGATGCCACCAACTGGGGACCAGTGTCCAAACAACTAAGACTGGTAGACATTACTCATTCCAACTACTATGCAGGTGATGCTGGGACACACTGAAGCTTGAAATAGATTGTCTTTCATGCCTTCCCATGGCTACCAAGAAGCAACCATCCCGAAGAACCTCCAAAATTAAGTCCTTTCCATGGTCAACAAGACAAAATGACAGCCTACAGAACGGGAAGATCTTCACCAACCCCACATCAGACAGAGGTATGACCTCCAAAATATACAAAGAACTCAAGAAATTGGTTATCAAAAGAACAAATAATACAATAAAAAAGTAGAGCACAGACCTAAACAGAGAACTCTCAACAGAGGAATCTAAAATGGCTGAAAGACACTTAAAGAAATGTTCAGCATCCTTAGTCATCAGAGAAATGCAAATTAAAACAACTCTGAGATTCCATATTACACCATAAGAATGGCCAAGACCAAAAACACTAATGACAACTTATGCTGGAGAGGTTGTGGGATAAAGGGAACACTTCTGCATTGCTGATGGGAGTGCAAGATGGTACAGCCCCTTTGGATATCAGTGTGGTGATTTCTCAGAAAATTATCAAACAAACTTTCTCAAGACCCAGAAATACCACTTTTTGGTATATATCCAAAAAATGCTCAATCATACCACATGTGCTCAACTATGTTCATAGCAGCTTTGTTTGTCATAGCCAGAATTTGGAAACAACCTAAATGCCCCTGGACTGAAGAATGGATAAGGAAAATGTGGTACATTTACACACTAGAGTACTACACAGCAGTAAAAAATAATGACATCTTGAAATTTGCAGGCAAATGGATGGAGCTAGAGAACATCATATTGAGTGAGGTAACCCAGAAAGACAATCATCGTATGTACTCTCTCATAAATGGCTTTTAAACATAAAGCAAAGAAAATCAGCCTACAAATCACAATCCCAGGGAACCAAGGCAACAATGAGTACCCTAAGAGAGACATACATGGATCTAATCTACATGGGAAATAGAAAAAGACAAGATCTCCTGAGTAAATTGGGAGTATGGGGACCGTGGGAGAGGGTAGAAGGGGAGCAGAGAGGCAAGAAGGGGAGCAGAGAGGCAAGAAGGGGAGCAGAGAAAAATGTAAATTCAATAAAATCAATAAAAAATTAAGCCCTTTCTTTTCAAAGTTTGTTGTAAGAACAAAACCCCAATCAGAATGCATGGCTAAGCCCACACCAACAACCTGGAGATGGCGCCTGTCACACGGCACCTACAACCTTGAGATGACACCTGTCACGCAGCACCAACAACCTCGAGATGACACCTGTCACTCAACTGCAGCTGAGATCTTCAGTCACTGAGACATGCAGAAGGTTCATCTGGCCATCGCACATCTCCCCAACCTACTCATCAAGTCAGAGAAATGAGGCCAGTAAAGAGAGGGCCAGGAGGTGTGTGTGGTGTGAAGACTGAAGAAACCAAAAAAAAAAAAAAAAAAAAAAAGAGAGGCGGTGTTGACCAACAGGACTGGCGACCCAGCCAGCACCAGTGGCTCTGATTTCCAGTAAATGGGAGTCAGTGGGATTTAAAAACTCAGGGTTCAATACAGCCATGTATTCATGACCATTCCTTCTGAGGAAAATTAATTGATTTGTGGCTCTGACTCATGGCTCCCAAGAGTCAGTATGTTCTTGGCAAGAGGTCTAGGGACTGTGGTTTACAGTGAAGCCTTGCTAACCGTGTCTTCTCCATATTTTAATCCTTAGATAGGCATTCTTGGCCCATGGCCTTCAGCATGTTGGCTTTGCTTCAATAAATCAATTGCTGCATGAGGCAGGGAGATGTGGCACCTGAGATGGGGGTAGGATCTCTCTACGGTTAGTGTTGTGAGTCAAATCACTGGCTTAGCTTTTACTGGGTGCTGTGTAAAAAAATGCATTTAACTCTTATATCTACTTTCACAGGCAGGAACTATTTTGCCTCCTGAATGGTGAAAAAAAAAAAATTACTAGGTTACTGTATCTCCTGACTTCACATGCTGTCTTGTGCACCCTATTTTAA